CAGTCTAGCCGTACTTAAGTACGGCTAGCCACTTCGAAAAATAAAACATTTAAAATGTTTAAAATTTGAATGTCCTTACTGTATGCAACAAAATCAATCTAAAATGGTACGCAATGGCTGGTGGCGGTGGTGTTGTATTACGAGGTCACTGTTTTTCGGTACGGCTAGCCTCTTCCTTTAAAAATCTCTAGATTCTAGATCTAGCTCTAGAAATTGAATTTGAAGCAAAAAATGCTTCTTCTCAGTCCTCGCAGAATGGGAGAATGAAAGATGATGCCTAAATCTCGCAAATAACCTAACCCAAAAATCTCGAGAACGGAAGCCGTTTGGAGAAATAGAGATCAAGTCAAGCAAGTATATTTTCCCGAGCATTCAGAGAAATAGTCACTTCGATCTAGATCTAAGGTCTCTCGGCCTCGTCTAGATAATTTTAATACAATACTAATAATACACTCTTGAATCCTACTGTTAGTTGTTAGTTTACTCTTTTTTCTGTTTGATATTAGAGTAGCTTTTATTAGGGCTAGGGTAGTGTTAACTGCGACAGAGTGACGCTGTGACAACTATAGCGGCGTTAATTGCGACAGAGTGAACACGGAGCTCTTAGTCTTTTGCATTGATCTAGATCTACCATTTCCCAAAATATCGAGGCAACAAATATTAGGCTACAAAAAACATCACAAGCAGCATACAACACACCAACAAAAACCACTAGATCTAGATCTAGGGACAACAACAGCAACAATAACAACAAGAAAAGAGCTGCAACTGTCTGTCTTTGTCACATATTAGTTTGGTGTGTGTGTAGTGTGTGTGAGCATGTGTCTGTGAGTGTGAGTGTGGTGTGTGTGTGTACGTGTATTTGTGTCGTGTGTGAGTGTGAGTGTTTGATTTTTTTATTTTTTTTAAATCTTTTTTGTCACAGACTCACTCTGTCCCAATTAACGCTGCATTGATTTAAGGGAGTGTATACAGACCCGGTAACCGGGAATTAAGTCACAAAGTATACAGACCCGGTAAGGGAACTCTTTTGTGATTTCGGAGAGTTTCCAGCACCCTCTTGGCTCAGGGTAGACCTAGGTTCTTCTAGATCTAGATCTAGGCAGACAAACTTAAATCTTTGATCTAGTTTCGCGGCTAGCCTTGATCTAAATGAAGATTGCGGATGTCTTTTCGATGAACGATCGTTTTTCCTCCGTTTTGGAGTTGGAGGAATCACAATTTGAAGAAAAGAACAAG